ACATTACAAATACAAAGTAAAAAGTAAAAAAAAAAATGTTATCTTAGATACACTCTACTTTAAGATGCTTAAAAAAGCGTCATATTTAGTACCTAAGTTTGTGTTGCTAACTACACTAATTTAGGTGGAGGTTTCAAGTTGTAAGGTTGAGTTCATATTATTTAATTTATTAAACCTAGATATTTATCTTTAAGTGATTATCCATTTAGGGTGAATTAATTATGATATTATTTTTAAAGTTATAATTTTGATTATGAAGTTCTGAAGAGCCTATCATACATGGGCCCTAGTCTATATTAGAGTTGTGAAGAATTAAGGTGCAAGTGTTCCATCCTTAATACAAAACCTAACTAAGGATAGAATGATTATAAGATTACAAGGTGTGCTAATACCCCCTTGGTCTCCTAGGACTCAAGGTAAGGCCAATATGTGACATACTAAAATGGGCTTATTACTCACCATAAAATACTAGACTTCGTATGTCTAATGTTAATCAATTTTAAAGGGTGACATAGGAATGGAGAACTCATTACATAAGAATACAGAAGTGTTCTATCAGGCTATGGTTTAACATTTAGGTGGTTTAAGGATTTAGGTTGGGCTTCTAAAGGTGACTTTAAATTTCAAAAAGGGAATAATTTGTGCAAATATTTGAGCCATTTTCCCCTTTACTTGTGAAATACGTTGCATCACAATAAAAGGTATAAGGATGAAAGACTCCTTAGGATATACATCCCCTTAGCTTGAGGATTCCATCAGGTATACTTCACGTGAGTTTAAGGGAGAATCTGCAAAAAAATAAACATAAGACAAACATATATTATGGATAATCAGGTATATCAATAGTGGTGGCAACAAAATCGACGAGCATAGACATTGGTGTCGATAGTGTGCATTGGATTTATATGCAGTGTCATGAATTGATGTTGTTGGAAAAAATAGGTGATAATGTTGGTGGTAATCAATATTTATGTCGATAATGTGCATTAGATTTATAAGAGATGGTATGCATCGATTTTGGTGACGATGATATGTGGTAAAGTCATTTGGCATTGGTGTTAGTGTCAATGACATGCATGAGCCATATAGGTAGTCATGTGGGTTAATGTCACTTACGATAGTAGTGACAAAATTTATAGGTGTTAGCCTTTATATCGCTGATGTAAATTGGCATTATATATGATTTTTTTTGTTAAAAGCTGTGGAGGGGCCTACGCTTTAATGATTACAAGATCCTTAAGGGAGACCATCAGCTCTCTAATGCTCGAATAAGCTACAAAACAAAGTAAAAGAAAACCTATGAGCCTGTAGTCTCCACTAACCAGAAATACAAAGCGACCTAGTAACCTGCTATTGATGCTATAGACAAAGAACCAAAAAAGAAAGATATAAATATGAGAATGAAGGTTAATCTTTTCGCAAAAAAAACTTGATCACATCTAAAAGCACCTCCACTTGAAATTTAAATGGGCTGCAAAACAAAAAAAACTGTAACATAGAAAAATAAAGGTGAAGCAAAAGGACTTACCAATATTAAAGACATAACAAAAATAAGTATAGTAAATTATGCATAATAAGAAGTGATCCAAACCATGCCACCACATTAAACCAAATAAGGAATATAGACATATATAGCTCAGGAAAAAAGTAAACTAGTGATCCTCACTATGATAATCCCCATGCCACTCAATCCTACCATCAGAATCCATCAGAAATTCCCACCCAAACGGCTCCAAAGAATAGAACAACCTGCCCACCGAACAATAGCCCCCAGTCAACCAGCATAAATCCTCTATGCTGACACCAACAACCAGCCAGATAAAGAGCCCCCAGTCGACCAACAGTAAAAGGAAAAATAGGGACCAAGCAATGGTCCAAAAATCATACCAGGCAATCAAAAGCAAAACAACTCCCTCCAACGTCAACAGAAATAAGATTGCCCCAAAATAAAAAAAAACTCCCATGGATACCCCCAGCCAGCCTATACAACAACATGAAGGTAGGAGAGCAACAAAAAGGAAATCCATCAGCAATATAACCGGTGAAATCATAGCTCAAGTCCATTTCCTCCAAAACCTCAGGTAAAAACTAGGTCATAGAGAAATGCCTACAGTCGTCTAACAACACTAGAAAATAGAAAAACAAGGAAAGGAAAATAGTTACAGAGAACCACAAAAACTTCCAAAGAAAGCTCAAACTCCACCAGGAAAAGGACCCAAGCCAACATATAGAACCACCAGTCCAGCCAACAAATAAGATAACCCAATACAAATAGAGAACCAGACACTGGCTGGAAGAAAAGAACCCAACCAACCAGAGAGCAAACAAAGCAGCAACCCAGCTGAAGTTCCAGGAGCTAAAGGAAAAGAGCCCAACAACACCACCATTAATAGAAACACCATCAAACACCAGCCGAATGGTAAAGAATGCCAGAACAAATTGAGAAACACTAAATCCAACCCAACACAAATAAACCAGCAGCATATTCCACACCATTACACAGGGCAGCCAAGAAATAATAACATAAGGAACACTACTCTTATCCAAGCAGATAAACCATGGCTATGCATCTTGCAATGAGAATAGAAAACTGGTAAGTTTTTGAATTCAACCTTTTGGAAATATCCATTAAGTTTCGAACCAATCCAAACCTCATTAGGATGTTTTTTTTTTTTGAAATATCTAGTTCAACTAAAACACGACCTCTAGATGGTCGTGAGATGGAAGCTATAGCTTGATCCGTTTACAACAGTTTACTAAAGATAGAGGCTAAGCCAAATAAAATTTGCGAATTGAAGAAATGTAACTAGAGATTAGGAAAAGAAATCCACACCGGGGTTATAGGAGATTCTTCATGGATGTCAAAAGTAGGAGACCATTTAAGGAATCTCATTTGATAGCCCAAAATATAATAGGACCTCCTAGAAAAGATATGGTTGTAGTCCAAATCATTACTCAATTGAATCGTTATATGCCTGGAGTCCAATAAACCAACCTGGAACAATCAAGTCAATTTCAAATTCAAGAAAAACTTACGAATAACATCTAAGTTTGGCCTCTTAAGCATGAACTTTCTCACAAGAGTGAGCGCAAAAGGAGCAGCAAGTTGGGAAACAACCGACTCCTCAAGCAACAAAGCCCGACACCCTTTGAAGAAAGAATGCACAAAGGGTAATTTAGTGGAAGAAGACAAAGAGTCAGCCAGCACTTCCTTAAAAAATCAAGACTTGCCATTTAGAAGCACAGATGGTTGAGGGATAGATGAAGACGACGTCGTTATCTCCCAAAAAAAAAAATGCAAAACCCTAACTCACAACAACAAAACAAAACGAAGAAAAGCGAAGAAATGAACAAGGAGAAGAAAAGAGCAGCAAAATCCACAACAAAAAGCCAGAAACACAAAAGAAATCAGCCCGAACCGAAGGAAAATCACGAACGGAAGAAGAAGCCCTAAATCTCCTCAAAGCCGCCTCAGAGCAGAGAGCAGGGTGCCATTAGAGTGAAATGGGTACTATGGATGAATCGAGTTAAGTTAGCAATTTTAGCATCATCCTCAGTAATAGAGCCATCAACCCGATTAATTTTGTGAATGCAATAAAAAAAAATTTGTGTTGACATGATGATAAGCACTGGCATTGTTGAAGATGATGGGTGATGAAGTTGACAATCATCAATATTTATGCTGAAGACATGCAGATGATGACATTTGCTGATATTAGGGGGGACGAAGTTGGTGGGCGTCAGTATTTGTGTAGAAGGTGTGCATCAACCTTCTGGGTAATGACTTGTGTCTATATTATTGGTGATTTTGATTGATTAAGTTTGGTGAGCATCAACATTTGTGTTGATAGTGTGTATTGGCCTTGTAGAGAATGGTCTGTAACAATTTTATTAGCGACAATAATGATGAAGTCGATGGGAGTCAACATTTGTATAAATTACATTAATTACATTCATTCCTTGTAGGAAATTATATGCGTTGACAGTCGTGGTGGTGACGAGGCCGATGGGGGTTGGTCAGTGTTTGTGTGGATAACATGCAATTTCTTATTAGTCAATGGTGTGCATGGATGTTGTTAGTGATAGAATTGGTGGGAGAGGTAATGGTACTCTTTAGACTTAGCCAAGTGCATTTTGTCATGGGATTGTAGTTTGGCGATGTCGATTAGATAAGGGTGGTCGAGTGTTGACTGCAAACAATTAAAGGATGTCTTGATAGTGATCATTTATGTCAAATATCGGGTGGAGCTCCAGAGTACTTTAAATCTCAAAACACTCTCAATTTTAAGCCAAGATCCAAGCTCCCTCTTATGTGAAGAATAAAAATCTATTTATAATTTTCTAGAGCGACATTTTATAACTTTGGCTAAAATCCTCAAGACACTTAATCAGATGACCTAGTATAATTCTCTTGATCATTGAAAGCTTTTTTAGCATTTAATTATCTTAATGATATCATAATTGGTGATCTTAAGCTTGTTGGATTTCTATCACTGTGATACTTGTTTTGACCATAAGCATGTCATATTCAAAGATTATTTGATTCTCCAATTAATATTACAAAATTTCTAACTATGTTTCAAGCTCCTTACTTGAGCTAATTTGAACTCATATTTGGTCACTTTTTAGGGTCATTGAGTTTGTCTAGCTGACTATAAGTTTATGGAAAGTTTAAATGATTTTGAATGTATTTTTGAAAATTTTTAATTTAAATATTACATCAAAATTTATGTTTGTGAAATGAATTTCCTAATGACATATCGATGCTCCATAATTTACAGCTTACTTATTCTCTCTCTTCAAGTCTTGAAAAGTTCTCTTAATATGCCCTTTTTTAGCCATATAATCTACTCACATTCTTAAAAAAGCACTAAAATTTACTTCTTTCATGATTATAATTACAATCTTCTCCATCGTTTTCCCCATGAAAAGATAAGATCAAAAACTCCATGCTTAGCTAAAATCCGATCATGAAATCCTCACGCTAAGACATCTGAACAAGTAAGAACATAATAACTTCGATAGTTCGTTAATGCCGGACGTTTCCGTCACAGATCAAATCCAACCATCATTCCTACAAGACACTAAAACAGAGTATTTCATTCTCTTCTAACAAAACGGGGTAAACTACAGCTGCAGCAGAGATTAAATCCACCTAATCTATACACGCACTTACAACAAAGCAATAAAACAAACAAAATTCTTTGGCCGCTCAGATTCTCATCTATCTTCAGCAGAAACCAAAAGGAAAATCTGTCTCGAACTCAATCTGCTCCATTGGAAAATCCATCCCAAGCATAGGTGAATTCGTCGTGGAAGCCGCAGCAGATATTATCTCCGCAATCTCCGTATCAAATCCCTGAAGATTAAGCCCACCAGCAAAGTTATTCACCCCGCAAGGTGACAAAGAGAAGTAATTCGATTCAGCGGAAGTAGTGGTGGAGTTGTTCCCCATTAACTGATTCTCCGGCATCGAAGCTGAGGAGAAGAGATTGTTGTGAGGCTTAATACAATTTGGTGGCGTCGAGGGGAAGGAGAAGGAAGGAGAAGACTCTAGTAGCTGTTCATCGAAGTTAAAACCTTCAGTTTTCACTCTGAGACCAGTTTTCAACTGCTCAAGGAGTTGTTGCTGGTGAGGATGAGCTTGAGGCTTTGATGCTTGGTTTTGGATCAAGTTCTCTTCTTTGGGTGACGGAGTTGGGGTTCTCTGCAGGCAGTGATTGCAGGTGTGAACGCCGCGGTAGGTGACGTCGAAGAGGAAGTCGTCTTCGCTGGAGCGCTGAACTTGCTTTGTGGCGAGACAGCCATGGGTGTGGCGGTATGTGCATCTGTAGTAGCCCCTGTGGAGTTGCAGAGTACGATAATAAGTACAAGACATATTTTTTATACATTCTGTAATAGTTTAATCATATAGTTATGTATAAATTATTTCTTTTTAAAAATATAAATCTAAGCTATCTTAGACTAAACTACATATCATTATGATTAAGATCAGGATTAATTTAATGCCTCTTTTAATAATGTGCTTCCTAGCTATCCTGACTTCTGGAGGGCTAATGAACAGCCACTATAATGAGAATCTTTAGTTGGAAAGAGCAAGTAAAACTAGTATAATATTGGTATAGTTAGACTAGAAGAATATAACAACAATAATATCAAATTTTTGTCCCACTATGTGAGGTGTGCTACATGAATATTTTTTCGCCATTATGTCCTGTTAAAAGTCAAAGTCTCGTTTAAATCTAATAAAGAAAGATAATTTCTAATATTTTCTAACCAAATTTGTTTGGGTCTATCTCTATCTTTCTTAACATAAGTAAAATTTAATACATACTTTCTTAACCGGGTCATTAGAAGACCGTCTTTTTATGTGACTAAACCATCTAAGATGACTCTCTCTAATCATATATTCCACTGGAGCTATTCCAATCTTTTCATATATATATGCTCATTTCATATCTTTTCTCTAAGAATAAAGCCACTCATCCACCTGAGCACAGATTAGAAGAATAGATTTTGTAAAATATTAAAAGAAGAATACAGATTATTAAATAAAACCGATGATCAGTTTCAGAGTTGTAAGTGACAGTTGAAAAGGGAAAGTAAGCAGCAACAGTGTAATAACCTGGGAAACTTAGCTCCAAGTATGTCCTTTTGGCCATACTTCCTCCAGCTATATCCGTCATCAAGTGGCCCCTCCATGGCTGAATTAGAACAAGCTCTCACCTGGCGGCTCCAACGTGGCAGAGTCTTCCTATAAACATCGAAAAAGAAACAATTGAGAGCTAAAAAAATAAACTTGCTAGTTACAATGTCTGAAGATACTGATATAACAAGTACCTCTTCTTGCACATCTCTCTGCGTTCCAGCTCCTTGAAAACCTTATCAGAACTATCACTCTTCGGGCTATCGCTCGCCGATGGCGGCGAGTCGACGAAGCCGGTTGGTCTTTGGCAACTCGGCTCGAGTAGTTTGGCCAAGGAGATGGCCGATGATAGTGCAGACTTAGCCTTGGTTGCTAACAGTTTGCAAGCTTCAGCAGAGAAAGGTTGGTCGAGTTGGGCCTGAAGCTCTCTCATGTGCTCGTTGCCTTGGTTAAGCACATTAATTAGCATGTTCATGTCGCTGGTAACTAAGCAGCTCTCCATCTCCCAACCTTGTGAATAGAGCAGGGGAGGTAGAAGAACTGAAGAAATCACTAATAGCAGAAGGATTTACTCATATTTCCTTCCTGTGCAGTCTTCGGAACTTGGATTATTTAAACAGGGAGTGGTGATTATAGGAGGCTAAGACTGGAAATTTGGGGGGAGAGGGAAGGTTGACTGAGAACAGGGTGTTCTTTGGTTTTGGTGGTCAAAATTTGACTAGTCTTTGGTCAAAGAGGGGGTTGGAGGCTTGGGAGAGTTTGAGAAGTGAGAGTCTCATTGTTGAAATGCTGACCGATTCGTAGTCATGAACTGTATCAAAGAGTATTGTTGTTGGAGGAGAAGCTTCGTGGAAGAGAAGAACAAAAGACTCTTCAAACCTGTTTCCGCGTGAGGAAGATAGTGATTAGTGAGATCAGCTCGTGGACCCAACGATTACGCTGCTGATTTGCCGCGTGGATCAATGAAAAGAGCATTCAAAATTCTTGTCAGTGATATTTTGAGTGAAAGTATTCTCTGCATCAGTAGTTGTAAAAGGATATAATTCAAGATTATAGATTCAAATAGTGAGAAATCAGGAGAGAGAGAGAAGAGGGGTAGGGATGTCAATTTCAGATTGCGGCTCCGGTTCGAATTGACCCGATCCTATTTGGGTTGACTCAAATCCGACCCATTTTTATAAATGGGTCGGTTTGTCCAACTCGAACCCGAGCAGGGGGGGTGACAGGAAGGAACATCATCGGAGGAGGCGAAGAAGGCTTTTAGCGACCCATTCAAATGTCAAACTGTCGCGACTTCTGATTCGACAGGAGGTAACTCTAGATTTAAAATAAATATATTATATATTATATTTAAAATTTATCTTATCAAATTTAAACATAAAATCAGGTGAAAATAATTTTATAGATTCAATTTGATAAAAATTCAAAAAGTATTATAGATTCAATTCCAATACTCATTATTATAAAAAAAAATAAAAAAATCTAGTATACGACCATGCATGTATAATCCAAGACCGAATGTATTATAAAAGAAGTACTACTTATAATTAATAATTAAAGTGTCATACATATTTGTTTAATAGAAAATGTAAATAAATAATTATTTCGTTCATCTTCTCACCTTGATATATTTTTAATAATACCATACTATAATATATACTTTATCTTGAAATTAAATTATGCTTGCTCGATCAAAACTATTGGCTTTGATGATCAACATCAATCATGATTAGAGAAATAATAATACCTTGAGCTTCTAGACATCAAATTACATTGAGATTCGTGCTAACCATTAATATCTAGCTAAATCAAATATGTATAGTCAGCATACATATAGAATTTAATTTTTTAATCAGATCAGCTTCAACGCCAATCATAAAGCATCAATATGATCCAATGTTGCAATTTAATGTTTGATAACTCTAATGCTATGAGTCAAAGATCTCCATCTATTTGAACGAATATTAAAGATGACTAACTCAGGGATTCACCGTTGGATCAATTTGAGGCAAGATTACAACTAAGGGTATTTTTGTCCATTATGAATCTAACAAATGAGATGATGTTTTTCTTGAGTGTTAGAAAAGGAGCGCTATGGAGTTGAAATGGAAGCATTGCAGTGTTGAGCTCTCAGTCTTTTAGAATACAAGTTTGGATGATGCGGGAGTGATGTGATGTTGAGGGTTGGGGAGATTTAGTACTACGGTCTCTGTATATGTGAAATTTTCAGAATGAATTTTTCCTTAAGAGCGTAGCAGTGCTAGAAAAGTTATTGCCTTGATGTTAGGTCAATTTGAGTGTTTTTATATAAACATCTAAATCTATTTTCTCATCCATCATTCTCTAAGCTATATAGAGAGGAGCTAGGAGAAGATAAGAAAAGAAGGGAGATGAAAGAGAAGAAAAGAAGCAAGGGTTTGGAGGCCGCAAAGCTGATTTCATCTGTGGAGCCAATTAAAAAAATTGTTCAACTTAAGTTAGCTTAATAATATTGTGCTTTATGTTTCAATTTTAAGGTCTGTGTGGGTATTTTTGGGGTTTTATTTGATTTTGGTTGATCAAATAAATTTTTAAAAAGTTTTAGAAAGTTTTTATCATGTAAGTTTTGGTATGTTGTAGAATAAAATATTCTAGTCATGTTAACTTGAAAAAATATAATTTTTTACTAGATGGTTTGATTTGTACACTATTTCAAATATTTTTGTGAGTATGTTGACAATTCTAGAAATTGCTACAATGTGATAAAAACTTTTAAACGATGCTATAAGTATTTCTCAAGAATGATTTTATTATTTATTACTATTGAATATGTATATAAGTTTTATCCCGTGCATGCTATTGAATATATCATACATATGATATTTTTGTATATTTATGTATCATATTAAATATTGTGTTGCAACTTGAGCTCATGAGTTTATATTTTTGATGATAACAAATATTATGGCTCACATCCTTATGTTTACTTATATTTGCAATGGATTATTGTTTTTGTGTGTACTAACATTTTAGGTTGGCTTGTGAGCTAAAGAGACGAGCCAGGGCTTGCTCAAGCTTCACTTATTAGCTCATCGAGCTCGGCTCACGAGCCATTTATCGACCCGAGCCCGAAACAATTGACAAATCGACTTGACTCACTTACTCGCTAATATGAAATGATTGTATGAATGTAGGATGAGAAATCATCTCAATTACCAATGATCTCACACAAGATTACAGTAAGTGTTCTTACCAAGTAAATGACTAGGTGGTCTACTTATTGTTTCTACTAAGGTTAATGGTAGCAACTATTAGTCATTCTCACATGGGTGGCTTGTTTGTTCAAGCATTCGAAGACTTGGTGCAATATTGAGGAGCTAAGTTGGTCATGACATTCTAAAGTATACTTTGGGTATCAGTTTAAGCTTCATTTGAGACAGTTTTCTTACTGCTTTCTACTGCAATTTTCAAGCACAAAAAATTCTTGAAAGAAGCAAAAAATAGTGGCTAAAAGCTTTCCCCAACAAAGTCTCACGCTTCATTTGAGACGACTTTTTTTGTTGCTTCTTAAAACAATTTTTTAGTACAAATATTAAAATTCTTATACTAAAAAGTTGTTTTAAAAGGTACAAGAAAGTCATCCCACGAAGTCTTAGTCAAATAAATTGGATTAAAGCTCATAATTGTCGCAAGGTTCATCCATAGCACATATAATTATGCCCTTTTTGCTCCTAAGAAATATATATGTGTTTATTAAGTAAACAAAATTCACCTTCTTTTTAAGAATTCAACTTTGGAGATCAAAACAATATAACTTAGCCAATTTTGTGGTAACTAATTCCCAATTTTATTATAAGTTATTATTTTGTATCTACACATGAACTAATAGTAAATAGGCTTTATTTGACTATGAACTAGTTGTGAGTCATGTTGGGGTAAATTAGTTGATAGGCTCCTTAGGAGTTAGCCATCAATTAATATTGTGACTCACTATGGATATACATATATAATTTGATGAAAGTCTCAAACTAATTGGTAGGGTTGCCTTTCAATTATAGATATGTGGTCATTTTGATTTGAGGGGTCAATAGTCAATAGGGTCCCATAGTTTTTCTATTTGAAAGGAGATTAATATTTGACCAGTATGGATGCATTACATATAGATTAATAAACTTACATAAATGGGTTATCAATCAATTGTTTGATTTGTTGGAGATTACATTTTAAGATTAGTTGAATGTACTTGGTACTTGGTAGACTCCATTAGGGATGCAATGTTTGGGCTGCTTGTTGGTTAGTATAATGACTCTTTAGGAATTTAAAATTTGATTTTTTTTCCCCTAGATGTAGGTATGGGTCCTTAGTAAATTGGTTAGAAGGCTTGCCTACTTAGGCTAACATGAAGTAGGGTTCATAGGGTATTAAGGCATTTATGAGGCATCATTGGTATAAATGATATGATTTATTCTTAAGGAACAAAATATATTTATTTTAGAATTGAATGAAAGCATCAATATAATTGTGAGGAAACAAACATTTTAACCTTGTTACAAAGGGAATAAGTGTTATGATTGAGATTTTTAGCATAGTCTCATCCCAGAGTAGTTTAACCTCATCTCAGAGGGATATCAAGTTTAAGAGAATTTTAGATATGCGGTTATAAGTTAACCTTGTTTTGAAGGTGTGTTGTTTATCCCCATTTCAATTGGTATCTTATGAATATTCACATGTGAAATTCATATTTTCATAATTTTTGGGTGAGAAATAAGAAAGAAGCATTTTTGTAATTTTGGAAGATAACTCTTTTTTGCAAAAAAATTATATAAAAAGTAAAAAAAAAATAATTACAAATGAAAATTATTTCTATCAAGTTAGAAAGAAATTTTCTTCCTTAAAAATTTATGATTGGTAGAATTTGATGAGATGAAGTTCACATTAAAAATTAATAAATATTAACATTTCTTAAGATTTATTAGAATTTTAAAGTTTTGTGGCAATGAAATAATTTTGAAATTTTGAGTTACTTATTTATGGAGGATAAAGATCTCATTGGTGGTATATTATTCACCAATTTTAATAATTTTTGGAGCTTTGTGGAATATTTAGAATTTGGAAGATGAGGTACATAGTAATAAAAATATTGCTTTGGTTGCACATGAATATTGATTTTTTATCTTGATTTTTGTCTTAGGGATCATGAGTAATAATATGGATGATCACATTATACCTTGTGTGGAGCTTAGATTGATTTGTCATGAATTTTTCCTTTTTAAGCTTACTGCTTCACCTTGAGCAAGCTATGTGGTAAATCTGACTCATCATTTCCTAAAATTTCAAAAATTTTGAAGTTGCGATAGTAAAAAAACCTGTAATTGAGTTTAATTTTTGAGGATTTGAGCTTGACTTGATTTGATTTAGCCATTTGTCTCATGTGATGGCTTGATTTAAGATGACATGATGGTCAAGTGTAGACTTGAGTTTAAGCTTTGTTTGGGACAATTTTCTCACTACTTTATGAAACAACTTTCCAGTATAAAATTTATTCTATTAAAATGTTTATATTAAAAAGATGCTTAAGAAAGCATAAAGAAAGGTGT